ACACATATACACAGTAAAAACTAGAGTATTAACTAGATTGTTAAAATGTCTGTGTTAATTTAACTCCCCCTAGTGTTATTTTAACACTTTGAGTAAACTGGCTTCCAGTGTTCGTGTTAATTCACAGTGTTGATTTCCTCAGTGTTGTCTCAACACTGGACAGTGTTAAATAAGCTCAGCCAGCACTTAACAGTGTTGTTAAATAACACCATGCAGTGTTGAAAGAAGTATTCTCTAAAAGCCCCGCCCTCTTCCACCTCATGTCAGACTGACCAGTGTTTTCACAGCAAGRGATGCTGGGTAATCTTGTAGAAATCATGTGTTTGCATGTTTATGAATATTAAAGAAGTTAATCGGTGTAAAAATGAGTTGTTCTAGTTAGTTGTTTTGTTCAAGTTTATCAGTTGATCAAGTTTAAGTTTGTGAGTTTGGCCATAAATTGACACCATGAAWGAGAGCTACTTCCTGGTGTGTGAAGGTCGACTCCATTACATTTTTCCAGTACATACTGTGAATTGTTAATGCAACACTTAAAAGAGTTGATCTAAACTCTACAGTGTTAAACTTACACTTTCAAATTTGCTGTGAATAACACCTCAGTGACTGTTTTACACCCCTCTACACAGCAAAGGAGWAAATAATCAACACCWCAGAGTGTTAAATTAACACACTGATAGGAGATATGTGAACCTCCAGTGTTAACCATCAATAACTCAATGCAGTGTTGAAAAGCATGAGAATCAGAGTTGATTCATCACCACAGTGGAGTACCATCATTACCTCTGGTTAGAATCATATTTACTCTCATCRGAGTGATTTRACTTGAAGTGTTAMGTTTTRTTAACWCTGTACAGCATTATTCAGTGTTAAGTTTTAACTCTGTTTAGAGTTAAATTGTACTCTGAAAATGTAACACTATTGAAAGAGTTAAATTGACACTAATTCAGATAAGGACCAAATAGACTCAGACACAGTTTTAAATTTAACTCTTAAGTGTTGATTTAACGCTACAAAATTTACTGTTATTAAATCAACATGCAGTGCAGTAATTTAACGTATTTAATATTCAAATTCATGTGTACCGGTTGCACACTTATTTGAATATGAATACAAAACCTTTAAAGCAAACAAAAAAGCTGAAGTGCTACGACACAAGATGCCTTGAGTTTAGACTCCTGTGTGGTTCTGGTTCTTGTAAAAAGTCTCTATTGTTTATGTTTTTGCGACTTCAGTAAACTTCTCATATTTAGCTTTGTGCAACGTGTTGTAGTGACTTGTATTAAAATCCTTCATGGCAGACAGTGTCTCTAAGCAGACTAAACACATTGGTTGGCCTTGAAATACCAGCCGTTGTGAAATGGTCAACGTCCCCAAAAAAAGTTTTTATTTTTTTAAACAGCTTCTAGATTTTTAGATTCTAAGAAATCAGAAGTTTCCAGCCTGTCACAGAAGTCACTCATAGACCACACCTGGCCTGTGGGCCGCCAGATGCACATCTCTGTTCTACATACTGTACTGTATAATATACTGTATTAATATACTATAAATACTGTATTAATAAACTAATATACTGTAAGAATGTTTATTCACCTTCACTAAAAAAAACAATATTTCTGTTTTTGACACTTAGGGAGACAAAGTGTTCATATCAATGTGTGCTTACTCGAACATTTAAAGAGTAACTTACCCCAAAATTAACTTTTTTCAGCTGATAAACTGTCTAGAATGTGTCTAAAATGTTATATAGTACTGTTTCTGTGCTAATTTTGATGTTTTTGTGCGTATTTGTTCAAATCTGTAATATTTATCAATAACTAATATTCCTCTGACCATGTCCTTCCCTTTATGACCACAGTGTACCATCTTCTGACAATGTCCATCCCTTTATGACCACAGTGTACCATTTTCTGCCCATGTCCATCCCTTTATGACCACAGTGTACCATCT